AAGCTGTCAGATTGCTTTCTTTATGTCTGTGGTATGTTTGCTCTCATTCTTTTCACTTGTGTGATTGAAAGCAGCCCTGGAATGCCACATGTTTGTTCTTCATCTATTTTCACAGCTCCAATGTTGACACTCACATCGCCTTGTACGACAGTCTCATCTCTTTCGACACAAGTTCAACCAGGTACTGGAAAAAGAAAAAGATAGAAGCAGCAGATACTAGTATGAAAAAAAGGAAAATAAACCATGACACTAGCAAGTTAGTGCCTCCATCTGATAATCAGAGTTTATTTCCTCTCCAGCTTCAAGGGTGATGAGCCAGAGCTGGCAAAGGAAGAGGGAGGCTCAGTGGACGGTCACACCACAGAGAATAGGTATAAAACTAATAACTTCCTCATTCCTAGCAGGGTTGGCAAGAAAATCTATAGTAACAAACTGCCACTGTGTTCACTTCAGAGTAATCACAAAATGCGCCACACCTCACTTTCAGGTGCCTGAAACTGCCTTACACAAGAGGGTGTCCCAAATTAGTCTTCATTAAATGTGGCAGTGTAGTATAGAGATGTGTGTGCATGTGCCAAAGCAGTTGCACTGATTTTCTTTCTTACTGTCTGCAGTGTTGAAGAGGAGCCAGCTCCAGCTCTCAGCAACTGTGAACCAATAACAGAGGATCTCCTGGCTCTCAATGATGGGTTTGTTAAAAATATGTTCTTACTGATTGTGCAATTAAGCAATCCTCACATAAGTTATCCTCTGAATATTACCCACAAGGTGGCACTGTTGGACTTTGAATGCTCTCCCTCGCCTCTACCTCAACTGGCCTGCTCTTGCTCTGAAATCTCCTCTGACTCCAAAATCCCCCTTCGTTCATCATCTTCTCCACTTCCTCTTCCTCTCCTCTTTTCCGCCTCCGCAGTCCGGAGGAGTCAGCAGAGCCTGTTCCCCCCAGCCCAGGACGCTGGAGTCAGGATCTGCTCAGCGGACTAGACAGGTATAGGAAGAACTCTTTCCCACCCAAGCCCTGAACACAGAATTATGCAAAGAATTATCCTTTCATCAGTGGAAAATCAATAGCTCCCTTGTCAGTAGCAAGCAAAAGCATTACCTTAACTTCCCTTTCCAGGGTTGGAAAACACACAGCAAAAAAAAACAACAAAAAAAAACCCTGCTCTGTATTTGACTTTTGTGTTTGATTTCTTTAGTGAGGCAGAACCAGCAAAGACCAGTGGCCCCCTGGATCTCCTGGCTAATGATGTCATTCTAATCAACACAGAGCCACACAGGTGAGAAAGAGGTAGACATATGATGGCCTCTGCTCCCCATCCCTCCCTCCTTGTGTACCATTAATTTTTATCACTACAGATGGAGGGAGGGGGGTGGGCAAGAATCTCAGCTCCCTGAGGTGTAAGATTTTTAATAAACCCCATCCGCCTCAAGTTTGATCCATAAATCGGGGCTCCTCTACTCCCAGCATTCTATTTTAACCCCTGCTCCGTGTGAGATGGAAACGAAAGTCGCAGATTCCTGAAGCGACTGAGTAACACTTTGAAACGGGGAGCCACGTCTTATCTGCCGCGCGACTGGAAATAGAAGAGAATGTTCTGTACTGATTAGTATTGCGGCTTTGTTTTGTCTCTGCCAGCCTCAGCACGCAGCGAGAGGAGGAGAAGCAGACAGATGAGACAGCCAAAGCAACACAAAGGTAGAGAGAGATGACAGGCTGCTCTTAAACAATTAACTATCTATGCAGAGCTGTTCCTGCTAAGAAATGCATTCAATTCAGATATGCCTTGTAATGATTTATACTAACTCTACCTGCAACTGTGCTGTGTGTCTCTCTGCCTGTCAGCCCCACAGAGACAGTCACTATAACCACCAAAACTGTGATCGTTACTGACAAAAGGTATGGGAACACATGCACACGCACACACATGCGCACGCACACAGGCAGGCATGCACACAGAAGAAGTCAGTTCTGTACTATATTCAGATGGTTTTCATGCTCGTTATGTAGTTCAGTGGATTTCAGGCTTTTCTAATGGACTGACATTGTAAATAGTGTATGAGAAGAACCACACTAACCTTTACTTGCCCCCTTTTCTCTTCCCATCATGCCATTCATCCGTACCACCCTCTTTACTTTTCTGTCTTGCCTCTGTGCAGTGAAGAGGACAATGCAGATCCCTGGAGCACACATGTGACAACTACAGTCACTGAATCAAGGTAGTTTATTTACCGCCATGTCACATATGGGCTAGTGCTTTAAGATGTCTGTGTTGCAGTGTAATGTAATGTATGTAATATATATGTAAATGTGTGTAAAAGAATAGTTTACCCCACTGACACTGAGTGAAAAAAAAATCTAATTTGCTTTAAAAAAAATGGATTCATTTGTAAGATACATTCTCATTCCTGTTAAATAGGCATACAAGTTTAATCTTGGTAATAAAATAGTTGTCTGTTAAATATCTGAAAACAGAATTGATAATGTTAATGATTTGATTAGTGCAATTGATATTAACTGCAATCAGGGTTCATTTTAGGTGAAGAAAATATGAAATACACTGATTTTACCATTCAGCAGCAGAACAGTCTTTCCATTTGTCAAAGACATCCAGATTCTGATTTTTGATTGAGTCTGGCCCCAAGCTCCTCTGTGTTTCTGTTTACCATTCAAACTGCATTAAATCTTTCCATTATGAGTCAATGTGATCAGAATTCCTCCAACACAAGATGGGCCATGCTGACAATTGAGAGTGAAATCAGTGTGAAATTGTTTTTCAGCTCGGCTGATCCGTTTGATCCATATCCGATAGGGACCACATCCCCTAACAGGTAATCATATTGGTTTGGAGCTGTGACTGTTTTCCAGCCAGCCAGATAGCATCTCGGCATGCATAATGCAGCAGTTTCTGATTATGAGCCACTTTTCTCTATTGCAGCTCGTCTGACCTGCTCCAGCCCCTCACAGATATTTCCATCAACAGGTACCAGGAATGATAATGCAAATTCCTCTTTTTCTATAGTGTAACCTCTGATTGTAGCATGTTACTACATAACATCCTCTTTGCCAGTTCTTCACCTCACTTTGAAAGTTATTCCAATAATTATTATTCATAATCAACAGCTATCATAATCAGTAGCTATCAATCCATCTTATTAATAGGATTATTATTAGTTCTGTTGGTTTATCATTTCTTTTTTTATTTCTTCAGTGCATCAGCCACTTCTATGGAGAACAAGGATCCAAGTCCAGAAATAAAGTAAGTTGGTTGCATTTATCTAACTCTTTAAATTAAGCTAAAAATTAAGCAAAATAAGGAAACAACTAACAATAATTTCCAGTATTGATTAATTTGTTTATTATTTTTTAGCAGTAAATTAGAGCTGAAATGATTACAAAGTTAGTCAATTAGAAAGAAAATTAATTAGAAACAATTTTGATAATCCTTTCATCATCATTGGTTCCATTTTTAAATGTGATGCTGCTGCTTTTCTTTCTCTTAACTCATTGTATATTAAATACCTTTGGGGATTTGGACTATCACCTATGGTCCAGAGAAGTTGTGATGGGCATTATTATTATAGTACCATATACCATATACCATAGATAAAACAAATAGTCGAAAATAGAGAAAATAATCAGCAAATTAATTGATAATGGAAATAATTGTTATTTGCAGCCCAGCAGTAAATTAATTGTTAAGCAAATAAAATATATAAAAATAAAAATAATAAATATAAAAAAAATGTTGTCATTTCCCAGAAATTAGGTATTTTCAAATTATTTAGTTTGACCAACAGTGCAAAAAATATAATTAATTCAATTATAATGTTATGTTAATGTATAAATGTTATTAAACAGAGAAAAGCAGCAAATTCATACCTTTGATAACCTGGAACTAGAAAATGTTGCTAATTTTGCTTTAAATTACTTAAATGATTTTCAACTAATTTTCTTATCATGTCAGCACTAAAATGAACTTTATATACAATGTGACTGTGTCTTAAATGTTTTTTTTTTCCTTTGTGTTTGACAGTATGAGCAGTAATGGACTGAAATCCCTTGCAGAGGACCTCATCCCCATCAACACTGACACCACAAGGTATTAAACCTAGTGCATAGTTGTGTTAAGAACGTGTGAGTGAGAGATGGGGAGGAAAGGAACAGTGTGGGCTTGCAGAAATCAATTTCTCAAACAGCATACGTTACCAGTGTCTGATATGCTTCATCTGTCACAACTCCTGCATCGTCTCTTTCTCTCTCCACTTTGGCTCTTCAGTCTCAGCACTAGGCGGTCATGGGCACGCACATGGGAAACCAGCACACCTCAGCAGACTAACGCAGAGGAGAGGTGATGACACACTTCGATTTACTCTTACACTTCCACACAATGCGGCCGACTATGTTTCACTCATCTACATGCACCCATCCTTGTCCATTACGCGCTAAAAGCCTTTCAATGTATGTCCCCTCTCAGCCAAGAGCCTGAACCCGAAGGCCAAGCTAAAGATCAACAGACGCTGATCATGTTTGAGAGAAAGTAAGTCATCTTTTTGTTAAAAGCTCCGGGTGCATATCTGCTCCTTTTATTCCCATAACCTCCTTACCTTTCACTACAGTCGAGTAACAAGGCTTTTGCAGCATCTACTCATTGAGCCAGAAGACATTGTGCACTGGTGCTCATGAAAATAGGTCAGATACTGTATATATTTGTTACAACTTTCCTTCACAACTGTCGTAAACAGATCCAGTTCCAGCCTTTTTTTTTTTTGTTTGTTTCTCCAGCAGTATTGTTGTGTGAGTGTTGTGACTTCGTCATCCTCTCAAGCTACAATGTCATGTCTTTGTTTGTTCTCAAGGTCCACTGAGAATGACTCTCCATGGGACAGGTGGACATCACCCACTGTCTATACTGTCACTACAGGAGAGGAAGAGGAAGAAGAAGAGGCGGAGGAGGAGAAGGAGGAGGAGGCGGAGGAGGATGAGGAGGAGGATGAGGAGGAGGAGGAAAGGTATCTCTGCTGTGGCTGAGCTCATTAAATGCATATTAAAGCGTTTTTATTTTTTGTACCATTTTAGCAGGATGTGATTATAGCACTTTAAAATTCAGTGGCTGTCAACCATTTAATTGAAAGTGAGCTAAACACAAGTTCCTCACGGCTCACTCAGAGAATAATCAACTTCTTCTTGACTTGTTATTTTTCACTTTAATACTGTCACTGTTTTTTTTTTTTTTTTTTTTTTTTTTTTTGTGCTGCCAGACTTTATTATAATGCAGGAATGTCCTCTGTTTTGTAGCCCTGAGGATACACAGAAGCAGACAGTCACAACCTTCACCACTATCAGGTTCGAAAAAACTCCTAAAATTTCTTAAGACTCCCATCTTCTGATCAAAAACTTCAGCGATTAGAAGGAATGGGGAGCGTGAGAGGCATGTAGGTTAATGTTTGCAATTACAATGTGATGGGAGGAGGGCTCAGGATGAGGCAATGCTGCAGTACAAAAGAAAACAGACCACACCTGGTCAATATACCCAGACCCCTCTGGAGCTGTGAGTTAGAAAGATCAGCTTTATGCACTTATAAAAACCGCAGAATTCCTGCTCACTGGATAGCGTCCAACTTATTGGCTGCTACAGCCTACAGTAAAAGTCTAATACAGCTTTCTTTACCTTCCAGGGAGACACACAGTGAACCAGAGCCTGCTATGGATCGGTAAGTTTATGATCTTGTTCGCATCAGACACAGTATAATGCAAGAGTGTCTCCTGAGTGTTATTTTCTACTATTTGGTCAGTTGATTTTCTCTCTTTTGTAAAGACACTTTTCTTTTCACTAGAGCTTTTTGTCTTTTATGACGGGCTACTGCATGGAAATCAAATGTTCCTGTTATTCTGAGTGGACTAAATAATTAATTTAATAACATCTATTTAATATCAAACAAACAATATCCAATATTTAGGTCATCTGGGCTTATTTTACACTTTCACCTACACCACATCTGCCTTTGTCTCTGTGTTTGTCGTCTTAGTCAGATAGGTGAGAGATTTAGGCCAAACCCTGTGGGAATGCAGCTGTATCCGCTTAATACTAAACTCTGGATCTCAAGTTACCTGCAACTCCTGTATGAGTCTCCCGTCTGAACTCTGTTACTGAAGCCAAATGACAAGATCTTCTCTCCCATTGTCTTTCAATTTGCCCTCATTTCCTTCCCTCTAATTATCATTCTCCAGATGTCAGATTAATGATGTGTATTAGAGATGTCCTTTTGTCAAATCACAGCCCGTTAAACAGCATGCCATTAACAAGTGATGGCAGAAAATGATTATCTCTTGAGTTACATTTGACAGATGTAGAGTCCCTCTGTATAAGCCATCACACTGCTGTCATCAGCGAGTCAAAGCTGAGACTAACACCACTGCACTCTCCTTCTCCAGTTATGAAACTTATTCCAGGACCGTGATAGAAGAAGACCATCGTGTCCAAACACCAGAACCTGAGACCAAGAAGTGAGGGATTTTACAAACTAGATTTTTTGTATAAAGGTGGCAACTAATGTCTTTTTTTTAAGTGTGTATACTAACTCACTCTTTCCTTCACCTGCCTCTGTTCAAGGGGGTTCGTTTATGTGAAGGAGTATGTCAATGCAACAGAGCTGTCCTTGCATAACGCCAGAGATACAAGCGATGGGTAGGACCACTACATTATTTACATAATCAAAAAAAACAAAAACAGTACTGATTAAAAAATACTGCTGAATAAACACTGCTCTGGTGATGATTTACCTATCGCTCCTGTTTCCACAGTGGGTCAGATAATTTGACATCAAGCTCCGTGGATTACTCTTACAGCAGCCCCTCCACTTACTCCAGGTAATAACACATTTCCCTGAACCAGCTATAAGCGTCAGCCCTTTCTCCCCTGACACTTCAACGGCTTTCATCTCTTGCTCTTCAATTGACATTTCATCTGCTTTCAGCGGTTACATGTAACATTGCTTCTTGACTGAATTTTTCTGTTTCTCTTCAACTGGCATTTCTCACACTTTGACTGACACTTCAAGTCCTTTCAGATCTGAGGTCTTAAGCTTTGAACAACAAATAAAACTTCCCACAACTTCCACTGTTTGTAACCGATTTACTTTAACTGCTTTCACTGCTTGCACTTTAGTTAACACTTCAACTGATACCTTCTTTCAGTTTATACACATTTCCATATCAGCTGACAACTCCAGCTCAATTTATCAGTCACACTTCAGATGACAGTTCAATTCCTTTCAGCCTTTTCACTTCAACTTAAAAACTACACTAAACTTCACTCAGCACACTCTCTTAAAATTGTTACTTAAACTTAACTCATTGCTAACACTTCCACTGAAACTTGAACCTCTTTTTATCACTGCCACTTCAGCTACTTTCAGTATTTGTATTGTGACTGTCGCTTCAACTTCACTTTCAACGTCTTTTTTATTTCAAATGCTTCAACTGCAAATTTCCTCCAACAAGCACGAGTACATTTTCCTCAATATATTTTGTACTTTTTGTATTTGCTCTCGTTTCCATAGTGGGTCATATTATTTGATATCAAGCTCTGTTAGTTGCTCTTACAGCTGCTCCTCTACTCAACTCCTTAACAACACATTTCCCTAAACCTGTTTTAAAACCTTTAAGCCCTTTCTCCCACTGCCTTGTTATTTCCCCTTCTGACGAAACTGGATAGGTGTAAGCAGTAGGGCAGAAATTCCACCAAGCCTGCTCATTAGGAGGCTAAGCAGGGACATGAAAGGATTATTTACACTTCTTAAATTCCCTCACACAGGACAGAAAAGGTCACAGGTTATTTAACCAGAAAGAGCTACGGTTTCACAAGAGCTGTTTCTGCATCACTGGCCAAACTAACTTCAATCGCTCTGTCTTCCCCAGTGGCTCGCTGTCATCCACCTGTACATACTGCGGAGAGCAGGTGGGCAATGATGCCAAGATCACCATTGAGCACCTCAACATCAACTGTCACCCTGCCTGCTTCAAGGTAATTAATCTGTCTGCTCAGATACAATCCTGCTGAAGATACATTGTGGTATACTCACATCTCCCTGCAGAAAATTTGCTTTTTTTCACCTCAAGCAATAGTTTGAAATTCTGGTAAATGGGTTTGATCACGTTTTCGGCAGGAGCTGGATGTCACTCTCATGTCTGTACCATAAATGAATGATGAATATAGATAAATGACGTACATCTTAGATTAGCATAAAGACTGTAAACAGGGGTAAACTCTCCATAGTTCAAAAATTCACTGACCAACAGCTCTAAAGCAAAATACAACATTAAACATGTTATATCTTGTTTGACTATTTCTTAGCCAGGAGCAGGGACTGTCTTGAGTGTTCAGTGGTTGCCTGGTAACCTCATGGTGACAAGACTGGCACATAATCAGCTGTAAAACCACAACTTTTTGTTTATTGCACTGATAAACAAATGAGATGTAACATGTTAACTGGTGAGCTTTGGAGGTGGTTACCTTTTGTTATCTTTAGAGAGAACCAGGCTGGCTATTTCCCCATTTCCAGCCTTTGTGCTAAGCTAAGCTAACAGGCTGTGGGCTACAGCTTCATATTTGACTGATATGAGTGTGATGAACTTTCATAATCACTTTGGTATACTGTCTATAACAAGGTGTAACCAGTTACTTGTGTTTTAACAGCTTAAAACCATTTTCTCTTCTGTGTATTGTAAAAATGCATTACTGAATTTCAAGTATAAAAACACTGCACTGCGCTGTATTTTTTAACTACATTTTCTAATGACATTCTCATACTTTTTCAGTGCGGTGTGTGTAGTAAGCCCATGGGAGACCTTCTCTACAGTATGTTCCTACACGGTGGGAAAGTCCACTGCGAGAGCTGCTACTCCAAATCTTTCGACTGATTAACAAGGCTCTTCAGCTGTCTCTTGTCCTCACCCGCTTCCCTTCGCATTCATTTGCATATAAAGTGAGAACTGGTCTTTCACAAAGTTTGTACCGTGTTCAGTTTGAACTTTTCCGTGGTTCAGGGTGATCAGAGCCTCCTATAGTGAACAATACCATTGCTCAATGTTGATTCTTACATTAGGTTAAATTTGTAATTTCTCAAACATGTTATACAACTGTGTGTTTTTTTTTTTCCCTGGGGGTAATAGTTGTATCTGCCTCAGTAGACTATGAAGGATATATCTGTACAACACGGTGAACTGTGAACAGACTAATACTGGCAAGTGGGGTATAATATTATAATTTAGTAACAGATGGTATGCAAGAAAATGACTTTGTTACAAAATGTTTACTTCCTTTGTTCTTCTTGATACAAAATAGTGTGTTCACATGTATGATGCTTTGTTAACAAAATAAAATGATTTATATGATCCTGGTATAAATATGTGATACAAAGGTAGTATGCCAATAGACACACAAAATTGCTGTGGAGTCTCCAGCAGTTACAGGTCTTAGAAAAGCATTAGTCAAAAATTATTGCACGTAAAAATGATCAGAATACAGTTAGAGCAACAGTATAAAATATCGAGCACAGAAATTCTGCAAATGCAGTGGTGGTTTCCCACTGGGAGTTGTGCTTAACTTTACATTTGCCTTTCTCTGCTCCTTGGTGAGATAATATTTTCCTTGCATAGTCACTTAAAATAGCTGTGTACATAAATGTGACTTTAGCTAATAACCATCAGCTACCTGCTGAGTAACTGTAGAGAAGCTAATGCAGTTCATTGGCGACTGTCTTGATGGTCTTCACACTCAGTTAGGCAGAGCTCCCTTGGTACAGAGGACACGTCTTTGGCTCTGTCCCAATCCAATGAAAATGTGCCTCCCATGGGAATGTGCATTTCTGGAACAACTGCACTGCATGCAGTTAACATTAACAATGCAATGCAGAGTAAGGGCAATGATGGCACCTCAGTTATAGTAATAAAACAACGTGAAAATATTAGCATATACCACTCTAAAACATTATTTTCCCATTACTGAACTTGGGATAAAGGACAAAAGTATCACGTCAGCAGAATATAATATCAAAATCTGTTCCAGTATAACTAAAACTGCTCATAAGAGTAAAGGAGTTTTGGCTCAGGTGCAAAAATATGAGTCACTTCTGCTTCATTCCCTCATTTAAACTGGGGGGGATGCATAATATGGGACACTCCTGTAATATACATGTGCTCCATCCTCTGTTTGTTTCAAGGCCTGGGTCAGTGTTTTCCTCTGGCTCTGCTCACAGCGATGTTTTGGATGTGCTTCCACAGCAGCGAAGGGTCTGACTCGTTATGTCTTATCAGAGACTCCAGCCCCTCCGCTTGGTCAAGACTCTGCCAGTAATCCTGAGGCCATATTTGCAACCATCTGCAGACAGATATACAAACAGATTAGACCCATCACAGAGGATATTTTAATTAGACAATTAAAATAGGCGGATTTCTCTTCCCTCGAGACATTGTCATTCACATCAAAGTACTGGAAGTAGCAGGATTTAACAACTGGCACTGTGAATAATTTAGGACAAACTCACGCATCATCTGCAGGTAAGTCTTGAATGTCTCCGTACCCAGGGCTGGGCAGAGGGCACCCCATGTGAGAGTTATCTGCCATTTTAGGCTGAGGAGGCGGGTTCTTCTTCGGTGCTTTCCTATATGCTCGTTCTGCTGTCAGTCGTGCATTCTCCTGGTCACACACGTAACATTCAAATCCATTCAGGTAGTTAGGTTTACTCATGTCATTAACCCCCCACTCACGAGTCTCTAGAGCCTCCAGCAAGCGAGTGTTGGTGATTCGCCTGGGGTTCTTAAACTCTAAATACTTTGCATACTCATCATCATTCTCATCGAGACGTTTGAGGAAGTCAGCGAGAGCTTTTGGTGAGGGGAAGTTATCTATGATGATTGCAGAGTGGTCGTTGGGCATCCAGTCTACCACCACAGAGGAGCCTCGATAGACAGGCACGCAGCCCTGATGGAGAGGCCGCCACAGCTTCTCCGTCATGTAATCTGGACACAGGCCGTTCTCCAGGGCCAGGTGGAACTTGTAGCGTGCAACAAAATTCATGAATCTGGGTTCCTCGCCGGTAGCGGTGGCCGTATCCTCCAGACGTTCAGGTAGAGGTTTGTTGTTCAAGCATTTCCCATAAGAGTCCACCTGCAGAAACAGAAATAATACAGGAGAAAGGAGACATATGGGGGGATGGTTAGAAAACATTTGGGAAAAGATTATTAATGAGCGATGACAAACATTTAATGGAATACATTTCTCATAAAACACTGATTAGACATTTCTAATTGACCTTAATATTTCATTCCCTGATGGGAATTCACACACATCACTGAGAGCAATATTTACAAAGCAATTAGAGTGGTGTTACTGTTAATGACCTTGAGCTACTGACCTGTGTGCAGGAGTATGTGTGAGTGGAAATGGGGAAAACTTCAATGCCATGTGATCTAGTTGGTAATTAATCTTAAGAGTAGTCATGGTAGTATTCAAAATAAAGATGTGAAACAAGACAATTTAAAGATGTGTACTATTTAAGAACAGCTTGGCTTTCAAATATTAGAGGGTGAGATTAAAATGAAATATACACCACTAAATCACTGTGTCCAAATACTTTGTTTTTTGATCGCATTCCAGCAGACACTGGACGCTTCACTGGCAATATCACAGTCTGCTCTCTGACTGGAATGTTTTATCGCTTGGACAGCAATGCTGCAGCATGTAAAACTATGACTGCCCCTTAGTTGCTATAATTTTAAAATTGAATCTCCATGAACATACACATTGCCAGTAGTAATATGAATCTCATCTCTCATTTGGCATGCATCTTAGTAAACATGGTCCTGGAAGACCTCCTCTGTACCACACCTCGATATACTTCATGAGCTCCTTGACATATCTGTCTCTGTCTGATGGCACATCGCAGTGAGACTGCATGTAAAGCACAGGGGCCATGCCCTCCCTCCTGAGGCGGTTCTTCTCCTGCAAGAACACAGCTGCAGGCTCCAGCAAGTAGCCCAGGGAGGGCAGCCACTGCAGGGTCAGAGGATAGTCAGACTCTCTGCGAAATGTGGCAGTGTAGTTGAACAGCCTGACTCCCGGTCCGTGAGAGAGGATGTAGTTATTCATGGGTGACTCTTCATGGAACAGTGCCCAGGTCTGGTGGCGGAGTCGAGGGAGCGGTGCCTCATATGCCCTGAAGTCTGTCCCATAAAAGATGATGGATGCTGTTCGCTTGTACAGCTGGACCTTTCAAGATCAAACTCAAAATTACTGGCAGAACAGCTTGGGATGATAATTATTACTAATGTGTGCATGCATCTCCTCTTTGTCTAAACCAAGAGTTTCAGTAAAAAGTTTTGTGAGGTTAAATATCTCTGGTACCTTGCGGTTGCTTGTGACCAGGCAGGAGGACGTGGCACAGTCAATGCGTTCAGTGTCACCTGGAAAATGAGGGAACAGTCCCCCGCTCCACCAGAGGATAATGGGCAGCTCCTTGTTGCTGCGCCGGTCACTGTTGCCAGGTCCTCTGTATGAACTGATGGAGGCAAACTCCATCTCTGATAGAGCACTCTGGGGCTGAAAGGCTCCTCGGTCCACTGCATCCAAAGCCTCCAGGGGAAGTTGATCGTCTGGAAAGGAGGCAAAGGAGACCCATACCCAGCACAGGACACCAAACAGTCCCAGACACACACAGGGCACCAGCCTGCCCCTACCTGCCATCTGCAAGGTTAAAAAGAACAGACAACACATTTAAGAGACAGGCATTAACTCGGATACAAGCAGTCAACAGTGAAAAGGACAAACCAAACAAAATGCCTGTATACGCAGTTTAACATATAAAATCACGGCCTGCGTCGTTGCGCGTAACTCAAATTAAAGGCTTACGGATTCAGTTATTGCTTCTGGGAAACCAACTTCGTTTAACAAATACCCTAGCAAGTAAGTCAAACATTTCAGTCATACGTGTCAGTGTTGTCAGAGCATGCATCAATATGGCAACATTTTTCCTACCACTGTCACTGCAGCAAACACATGAAGGTACGGTTTCTCTTTATTCTTCAAAAACTTGTATGGCTATTCGCCGAAGAAGTTAGCCTTGAGGGAGTGGAGACAACGGGATGCTCTCTAACAACAGCCAACGATACAGGGGGAATAAAAACAGCTGGACTCTTCTTCTACGTTTCTGGTTTTCTTCTTCTGCGGCTCGCAAACGAACCTCAAGTCACACAGCGCCGCCCACAGGCGAATTTCTGATAAACATCTGTGAACGCTGCAGCACGTTTGTTCAGTGTTCAGTTTGTCACAGAATATTAGTGTACTGAAAGTACAACAAATACTTAATAGAAAAAAAAGAAAAGAAAAAAAATCTAAATAATGTCGAAACAGTTTTGAAACATAGTCTCCTATACAAATACATTCCTACATTTAATTCTACAGATGTGAAACTACAACAGTGACACTAATAAAACGTTACCATGTCATTCTTTCATTTGCTTTTTCTAATTGGTAATAATTAAATAATGAATGGAAGTTATGTAAAATAATCATCAAAAAAAGATTTGTCATTATGATTCCTGTTGTAGATAAGCGTTTAGCTTTACAGTGTTTTTTATTCTTGACAATTTTTAATTTTATGTCTGTGCTTGGCAAACGTAGCTTTGTACCTTTATTATTGTTGAATCTGTCTTACTCTGAAGGGCAAAGTTCACAGGTATTGCCCTCTGCTTTAAACACTGGTAGAAATTTTACTTAAAGTCCCTGTCCATATTAGTATATTGAAGGGCTTCTATACTAACTTTGATGTTTGAGCTTCACTGTGCAGAATAATGTACATTGTCTGACACTAGAAGGCTGTTTTCAAATGCTAGAGGGAAAAGTTTCTCTTTTATTTTCTCGATTAGCGAAAAGTTTTGGTTCAAACCTTAAAATTATTAAAATAATTTAAAGGAAAAGCAGTAGGTTGAGAAGCTGAAACAATGAAATATTTGTTATCTTTACATGAAAAAAATGACTTAAATTATTATCAAAAGAGTGGTCAGTTAATTTTCTGTCAATCAATCTATTGATTAATCGACTTGCCATCATATATTATAGGTTCTATTATACAAAGATTTTAGTTTATAAAGTATAGCCGTCAGATAAATGTGATTTCACCATGAAATTTAGTGAACTTGTATAAGAAAAAGTATAAGTATAAAGTATCATGAAAAGAAAAGACTCAACTACAAGTAACCTAGATTTGTAGTTAAGTACAGTACTTGATTAAATGTATACTTACTTACACAACATTCAGTTTGTTGTCATCATTCATGAAAGGTGGTGAACTTGTCGGACTTTAAGACCCGGGTTTGCCTGAGCGGTGTGCACATGCAGCTCGTCGATGGGCGCGCGCACGTCACGACACTCAATCTCAGTCAGATGCAGGGGCGCAGGGCAGACCACGCAACATCAACAACAGGAACAGGGTGAGTGAAAATACCTGTTTGTTCTGATTGTAGTGGCTGCATTCATGTATAGATGTATCACCTCACTGCAACATTTGTTTTTTTGTTGCTTACAACGCTTTTTAAAATAGTTTTTAGTCGCATATGCACTGAGGCTAACGGTTAGCCTGGCTTGGCTGGAATGTCAACAAGCCGTCAGACTAGCCGGATAGCTTGCTAGTTGGCTGCGAGGCATGCTAAGCGGCTACACAGTTGAACAGTTTCATGCCCGTTGCATGAACGTTTTTATTTAGAAGTCTGTTTTCTGTTTCGGTTCCTGTTTAACTTCTGCCCTTAAGTACCCTGTGCACAGTTTCACAGACAGCTTCGACGAGGCAGTTTAAAGAGAGTTTAGCCGGCAGCCTGTGTGTTGTTTGTGGTCTGCGCAGGTGCAATGGTCGTCTCTAGAGTCGGTGTTTGATCCTGACTCGCCCTTGTTTTTGTGGCGTAGGACTCAGACACATTACCTGTTACATAAGTCATCAAACAAATGTTGTCTTAGGCCAATGTTTATGCTCTACTCTATGGCTGGCACCTGTTCATTTCAGTTTAGCCAGGCATAGTACTACACAGTCATGAGTCAGAATTACTGTGTCATGTAGTAAACAACAAGGCTGTGGTCGTCTAGCCCAGAATTAGCGTCCTTACTTCAGCCAGAAACCTTTGGCAGACATCTTGGTCATTCACCCCTGTCATTGTGTCCTGAAACTAGTCAACCATTACACATCTCTCATAAGGCTTTCATTTGTTGCTGAAAAGGTTCATTTGAGGTTGAATGGAAATGTTGCTAGAACAGCAGTCTTTTCCCTGAGTAATCTTCACTGAATCATCAGAAAAGTCAAACCCTAGGTGGGTGGATGCGTGCTGAGTTTTTTTTCTGAGAAATCAGAATCTTTCATTGCATTTTGCCTAATGGCCATTTGCATTTCTCTTTTGATTGTCCAGTAAATATGTGTTTTTGCCTTTATTTCTCTCTCTAGGTTAAATCCACCCTGGTCTGCCACCTGGTGTGGGGGGCTGTAACCCAGTGAGGAGGCCTTTCTGGGTGGGAGGACGCATGATGAGCGGGAAGAGCCTACTACTGAAGGTGATCCTGCTGGGGGATGGTGGAGTGGGCAAGTCCTCCTTGATGAACCGCTATGTCACAGACCGTTTCGACTCCCAGTCCTTTCATACTATTGGTGTGGAGTTCCTCAACCGGGACCTGGAGGTGGATGGGCGCCTGGTGACTCTTCAGATCTGGGACACGGCAGGTCAGGAGCGCTTCAAGTCCCTGCGCACGCCCTTCTACCGAGGCGCCGATTGTTGTCTGCTCACATTTGCTGTGAATGACCTGCAGAGCTTCCAGAACCTTGGCTGCTGGAAGAAGGAGTTCATGTACTACTCAGACGTTAAAGACCCTGAACGGTTCCCTTTTGTGGTGCTTGGCAATAAGGTAGACATGGAGCAGAGGGAGGTGGGGGAGGACGAAGCACGGGCCTGGTGTGAAGAGAACGGCTGCTGTCCTTATTTTGAGACCAGTGCTAAGGATGACACTAATGTCACAGCTGCATTTGAGGCAGCTGTCAGAGAGGTTCTGGCTGCTGAGGACCAGATTGACCATGCACTACTGAGTAGTACTATTGATCTCCATGGCAACCGCAAAACCTCTCGCACATCTTGCTGCTGATTGGTCAGGTGCGAATACACCTTGTCTTAATCTTTCTGGCTGAAACTTGCCTCAAGCAGTCAGATATTGTTTATGGTACACATACTGTAGGTACAAGGTACTGAGAACAGTATCCCCTTAAGATATGGTTAAGATACAGCTGCTCTGAGGAGGGCGGTGTCAAGGACTCATCTGGTGTTTAGATTGTTGAATTATTGCTCCAACCGAGGTACAGACACACTGCAACAGGCACACTCATCCTTTGTACTTTGTCTGCTTTCAGTAGAGTTGCACAAAATATTTTTACCTGGCTTAAGCTTTGTCTGCCTATGCAGGAGTTTTATCAAACAGTGCTTTCAAAGTTATGGTTTTAATCAAAATAATTTAAACTTAAATAAATACAGTGGAAGAGAGAATACACCAGTCCTCTATTGAAGAGCACACTCTTTGGCACAGCAACTTGGAGTTGGTCTTGTAACTGCTCAACTTTTTGTCCATGAGCCTATTTCCAGGGTTTTAGAAGGACTGAATACAACATTGCCTTCTCTTTTAATTAGATGTGTTAGCAGTTGTTGGAGAGCTTGATTAAGAATTCCTGGCATCAGTATAATGACCAATACGATTCAAGGTACGAGGATGATAAATATTTGCTGCTCTCAAAAGGAAGATTCACTTGTCTTCAATGCGAAGGGAATTGTGAGCTTTAATTTTACAGCTCTGACTGTAAGCATTGGGTACGGACTATTGTGGTGCTCTTATTCATTTGATTATTAGATTCATTACCACTGCACTTTTGTGTAGCCGAAGGTATCAGGTGCACGAGCCAGGCATTATCAGATCATATTTATTTCCTGTGATTTATGTACATGGGCCTGTTTTATTATGTAAGGTTCAGTGTTTCTCAAAGTTCAGAAATAATACTGCTGTTGTTGATAAACTGCTGTTTATATTTCTGAGAAGCACATTTCCACCTTTGACTTTTTATCTTTTTAACAGACTTTATTGTCTGATCTTTAGGCTTCTGCGTTTGATCAGGGGCTGATTAAAATTCTGATGTGTAGATGAGGTTATAATTATTATAATTATTAACATTAATTTTGATAATTATGGCATGTTTGTAATCATGTGTCTGCCTTGTTGATTGCGTGGCAGGCCTTAACATTCCAATCTTTTAGCTTTGCCTATTCTGAAGGTCTCCTGTCCTTTACTGATACATTACATACACGTGTGCTGTCAGTCTGTCACTCTAGGTCTCACCTGAATATGAAATAGCATGAGCACAAGGATAATGCCGTTACCACTAATGTGTGCATCACCTCTCCTGTCCATTCATACAGTATTGAATGAAACCTACAGCTGAGTATTCTGAAAACTTGTTGACGTTTACGTGTGTAAATCTGGATGGTACTTTACTTTTATTTCAGTGTTTCTACACACCGGTTTACTTGCCACAGGTGCACTTGTATTTGTCCCTTTGGTTTTTACTTCTGTTGGCCAGAGGGCAGTGTTGTTTGCCTGTGTGCTTTTAAAAAATAATATGCCTCATATTCAATGCTTCAAACTGAGTTTAACATGGTTTAAATTCATTCTTATCAGTATTTTAGTTGCTGCTTGAACAATAATTTATATTGTGTGTCCTCTAAAAACCAAACCTGTTGCATAAATAAGATAAAATGTTTTCATCTTCTCACTGCACAAAGTCGCCATGGTTCTCATTATGGCCCTATGTTCTCATACAGCTTTCTGTTGTGTTAATGGTCTAGTGTAGTCTCTCAGCCTGAGATTGCATTATTTGCCTTTCAAGTCAAAAATTGCATCATATTTCAGTATGCACGCAGATTAATGGTGAACATTACAGGAGTTTCTCTGTGAAAGTGAAACCAATCCAATCAGGTACTGTCATATTTACTTTATTACATGTTTCTTTGTTTTAATGTAGGCCTATAATAACTAGCTTGTTTATGTGATCATGGTTAAAAGTTTTATAAGATGTGTTTGAGTAATGGCACTCTCAGCTGTGAACAGAGTCGGGCATTTCAACAAAATGGAGCTGTTAGCCTACATTAATTCAAAGCAATAATGAGGGCTGAAAGTTTATTATTTGTCAGTGTTAATGCTTTCTGGATTAAGCAGAATACCTTGTCTCCGTATTTACCATTACAGTTAAAATCCTGTCCAGATAATGTAGCCTACCACAGTGTTTACCTGAAATCTAACATCCCCGGGAATGAGTGGGTATTTACAAGTTGGTAGCATAACCATACAGTATATTGTTCTAATGTTGCTGTCTTATATCATTGCAACCCAGTGTAATGTCAGTATTTTTTTTAATGTTGCTGTAATATTTATGAATGTAAAAACTAATTTCTTTGGGCTGTCCATATTAATGGCTTATGTAAATTGCAAAGGGCATTCATTTTATAATAATGTACAAAAATGACAGTGAACGTCTGTTTCACTCTGTGCTCATCCCATGAGTGTGATTTAAGCTGTGTGAAAGTTAAGACTGTTCATCTTGATTATGTGTTGATCTAATGGACAACTTCCCTGTCTCCTCTTTTTGCACTATGGAAGATAAGACTGGTTGTGCCAACATGCTGGCAAAGCGGTGAATACTCTCCAGTGCTTGGCTACAAATAAAACATGCGACATACCAAATGGAGACACAATGTCATCTGTTTTTGTGCTGATGCCTTGAAAATCCATGAAAGTACATGGCTTTCAAAATTACTTTCAAGTTTGAAAACAAAAGGTTTTTTTAAACTATTTTTAAAACTAAAATAGGTCACTCAAATTTACAAAAAACTGAAGTTTTCCACCTTTCTCCACTTTCACTCACTTAACCATCAGGAACAAAAGCCCCAATATTTGCAGTAATAAGCAGCAATTTTAAAATTAACACTTCTTTGTAAGATCATGAGTAAAACCGAAGTCTTCCGATTTTACCCCCAATACACACCTTGTTTGAGTTTCATCACACAAGACCTTGAATGTCATTGATTGACCAAGTATGTGTGGGACCCAAGAGACAGTGAGCGCTGTTTATTTCCACTTCATTAAAAAAGAATATCAAGCATGCACTGCAGATTTATTTTCCCTTCATTAAAAAGGATATCAAGCGTGCTCTGCATACTGTGAAATCTGACCGAGGCAGTCTGCCTTTCAAAATAAATGTTTTTAAATCTCTAACTGTCTAAATATTCAGACTGGTCAAATGCAGAACATTATAGGAAGTAAGCACAAAATACTGAGCTGGTGTCGCTCAGTAAAAAAAAAAAAGTGCATTTGTAACATTTTACAACTTAAGATATAACATGCAATTGCCTATATTTTAATGCCAAAAAAATGAAGGGAATCAACTTAATTACTACCAACTTGTAACAAACTGGAGCGCTTTACAAAACAACATAACTTTCATGACCAGCTCATAGCAGAGAAGCTTATGCAGCAAAACTGGAGGCACTGTCAGGAGATGTCAGAAGTGCATGCAGGGTACGGAGAGCACAGCGTCCCCCCTCTGTCCCTCTGCAGCCTCCCATATAGGTCATAGCCTCTCCTCTCCTCTTTCGCCCTGTGCCTCAGCCTCCTCAGGTACACCTGGTTCACAGCCAAGTGCAGGGAACAGTGCACCTGTGGACACAAGAGGAGAGAATACAAAACACCTTACAAAACACCTTGGCCCCTAGATATGGCAGGAAGCCAAGGATGGAGCGCGAGTTGAACACCATGACACTACGCCAGACTCTTTGCTTCCACACAGACTTCAAACAAATATTTTCAGAGGCACTCTGCACAAATACTTCAAAGAATACTCTTTTTATTATCAAATTATACCAACACAAAAAATAATCATCAAACAGCCAGCTGCCACTTGACAAGTCCACCACTCACAGCTGGGTAAAGCTTCCACCAAATAGAATAATCTACTCATTATGTTGCAATAGGTTTTGTTAGTAATACCAAAGAGTACAATTAGTAAATACAGCTACAATAAGTAAAAAGAATTATTATACAATAACTACAACAAAATTCCTAAAGAATTAGAGACAAAACAAAGCTGTCCTATCTCTATAAAAAACCTCAGTCATGCATTAACAGCAGGGGGGAGTCACACCTCAACAATGTGTTTTGCATCTAATAATACGAGGTTACTCAATAAATTAGCACCTAGTGCTTTTTCCATCTCAAAATTATGAGAAACAATTTCAGACCATTCTAGATCAGATCTAAATAAGTAAGTCCCTTTGTCAGAAAGAAACTAGTCAAGATCATCTAAAATTCCTTCAGTTCCCTCACTCTGAATCCATCGTTTCCATTATTCGGGGGGAGGTGGGGGTCATGCAGCAGCATATGGATGTGTTGTGTGTGTGTGGTTGCCGTCCTAGAAGAGCTGCATTGTGGCCTTAGAGAGGTCTAGCCCTCTCTTTGTCCAGGGGAGCCTCTCCCTTGACATGTAATATAACCCTTGGCAGAGACTCGTAGCGCAGGTGGCCCCCAGAACTGGATCCTTATTGGCTAGCTTTCAAAACAGGCATGACTCCATTGTTGAGGCTTTTCTCCAGCCCGTGAGAAAAGTCCTGAGGTCAGCGTGAGACTGCAAATGCGTGCTTGTCTGCCACCATGGCAACCAGATGTGAGGGATGGTAGCCATGGTAACCTATAATCCCTACTCTCCGTAACAGCTGCATTATAGCTGTACGTGTTGTCAATTGGTGGTTATTTCTTGCGTATGTTAATTGATTAGTTGAGTGTTATTATTTGACTGTGATGGGAAGCAGAAATTAATTTTAGACACTAACCTCAGCAAGCAACAAAAACAATAATTTACAAATATGTTGGTGATGTGGCACTGAAAATAATGAACAACACAGCAGAGAAACTTCAGACAAAAAAAAAACAACAAGAAAAAAAAAAAAAGTAAATACAAAACAATAATATCCTTATAATAAGGAAAGTAAAAATATAAAGACAAGTTTTTTAAAAGTCCATGTGGTGGTCCTGTGCAGATGATGTGGAAGGAGAGAATTGTTGTTGACCCTTTAGACCCCTGTGTTGGTGGTGAAGTAGTGAGAGAGCCGACAGGAAGCTGGTGAGCCTAACACCGTGCACCTATCCCCTTTCTCCCCAGATACCGCAGAACCGCAAAGTTATAGGTGGTTGACACAGTATAGGTCAGCTATGGAAGGAGAAGCAGAGACAGGAAGTGTCAGAACACAAGTGAAGAGAAGAAAACTCCAAACTACAAATAAAAAAAAAAAAAATATGATTAACTCCTAATGGCATTAATTTGGTAGCTGATACCATCCGTATAACAGCCTCTGTAATGGAGTGGAGCATGTGAGTATAATGGGTACACCATTTGCCTGTCTGGAAAAAAACCCACCAGACATTACAGCATTAGTATGATGTTTGTATCAGCTGAGAAAGAGGAACAGAGAGCAATAGTACAAAAGTCATCAGTCATGGAGGTCTGAGATGCCTCGCCGCCTACACTCTGAGCGTCACTAAGTCACATGAGCCATAACACTATTGTTGTACCCCACTGTGGAAGCGCAGCCAAATTGGCTCCGGCTGAAGCACAATCACTCACCAGAGCCAAGAGAGTGATGCCCGCTCCGGCAAAGGCAGCAATGTAGAGGTCATAGGTCATTCGATACTGAAAGGGAAGAGATTTGCATTGGTGGTGATAGCATGTCTACTTCATTTCATGTCAGGCCAGTTGTAGAACATGACTGCAGAGTTTGAATTATTTCCAGGCGTTTACCTCTCTGGTCTTGCAAACAGTGGACAGAGTCATACCACAGGCTTTCCCTGGCACTGCATTCCATGGCAGGAGCCCTGTTAAAATCAAGCGTAAAGGATAAAGCAGGTGTTACTCTATATTTTGTTTTTCTCACTGTTTACAAATCCATGAACAGACCATAATAATAATAATAATAATAATAATTTTTCCATTTCCAAAATTTTCAGACTTCCCTAGCTTGTCTGTGGCTGTTACCTCTAAGTCCTTTGGTTCACACTGAAGATGTAAATTAGGTCACAAATACATGCTCTCATTTAAAATAAAAATAAAAAGTAATAATGTCCTACAAAAGCTGAACACCGTAGTAAATCGCCAACGTTACCAAAACATGAGTAAATAGCATTTGTTGGGGACTATTTTCAGCTGAGGATTAATACACATTCGATGAGCTAGTGAGTATTTATACCAGCAGATGGGTGTATGTGGGACTTACTCAAAAACTACAGTACCCATGTTCATAGTAATGAAGAAATGTGTCACCCAGTGCAACTGTCTGGCTCATTGATGGACAACAATGGAGGTCTATAGGCGCTAGGAATAAGCTTTATCAGGCTTTGGCAACAGAGGCAATACTTGGTAGAAGGATCAGTTCATTGTTGGTTTTTGTCTTTTCATGGGATTTGTAAACAAAAAGACATATAGAATATATAAAACAAAATGAATGTGGGAGGGCAGTAGCTTAGGCTGCCATAAAAGGGTTTCTTGTTACCGTATTGTCTTGCATCTACACACAGCTGGTTGATACTCGCCGGGGTCTCAGTCAGTACGTCGATGGTGTGGCAGGTGGCATCCATGTTGTAGAAGAAGTAGACAGGCAGGGCAGAGAAGGCAAACACCAACAGCCACAGCACAGCCAGTACATATGTCAACACTATAAACTGTACAAGGAGAAAGCAATTCACATTAGCAATATACAAATAAACATTACGGTGCATCATCATAATAAACTGATGCACATAAGTAATCTAAGAGAGTGTTTTTATGAGCAGTGACTCACTTGGTGACCACATTTACTTTTTTCTGATTAGCTTTACTTTACTATCTCACTCTCTGTTCTCCTCCTCTTTGAACCACTCAGTTTTTTTCCCCCTCAACCGCTCAAACACACACTGTATGCTTATCTTTGCATGTCCCCAAAGGTTTTTAGCAGCCTTAAGATTTTCGGCTCAGCACCCACCAGGGAGTGATATGTGTATTAATCCCATCCAATCTCTCCAATCCCCTTTACTTGTCCCACTCTGGGCCCTCTCACCGAGGAGCTGAGGCAGCGGCCACACATGGTGCTCCTGAACTCTCCAAAGGTTTGCTTGGCAACGCTGGTGGTGTAGAAGCCCTCAGCCAACAGCACGATGCAGTACAGGAAGAAAAAGGAGGCCAAACCATAGATGACATACTGGAAATATTGAATGCTGAGAGGGAGAGGAAAGGGGAAAAGAAAACAGTCAAAATTCAGGGTTACAGAGAATTCAGATCTTCAAAATAGACACTACAACACCAAAAAAAAAATCCCATGGGGAGGTTAAGAAGATGTCACTCTAATGATGGAAAAGCTAAATTTTACTACTTACATGTAGGCAAGGGTGATGTAGTCCTGAAGGTTACGGGCAAAGTAAGTCTCGATGAGTCTCTCTGTCTCTGTGAGTGCCTGGTGCCCACAACCACAGAAGAGGGCAATGCCAGAGAAACACAGCAGTGTGGCGACCAGGGAGCAGTATGGCACCCCACCCAAACAGCGCATACAGCAGTCATAGCAACCTGTGAGTCGAGACGAAGCACCATTAAAGTCAGGACACATTATTATCACTAATGCTATATGAAGGACAACACAGAAGTACTCTGCTCCAATGTACAAATGATGCACAGCAGAATATCACTCCTTTCCTGTAAAGATAACTCTGGTGGTGGCCATGCTGATAGCTTTGGTTTCATATGCCTTGCTTTTGAAGCATCCCTCTGAGATTTTTGCCTCCATCCCAATACAATGAATGTGAAATGGATTTTGTTTGTGCTGCTCCAAACTAGGGTTGCTACTAAAGAATATTTTCATCATTGATTAAGCTATTATTTTTTGGTCTAATAATCTCCACAAAAAGTGATTAAATGTCTACCACAGTCTCACACTCTGAGCCCAAGATGACATCTTCGGAAGTCTTGTTTTGTGCGGCCAACAGACCAAAACCCAAAGATATTTTGTTTACAATGAAATAAAACAGAGAAAAGAAAATCCTCAAGCTGGAACCTGGAAATAGTTTTTGCTTGACATTAAACGAATATAATGTATTGATTATCAAAACTGTTGGACATTCATTTTTCAGTGGATCGATACAGTATATTCAACAACAACTTCTCTATCCAGAAGCAGTTTCTTTGTTATGCTGGATAATTCACAGAACACACTGTCAACAGCTTTTGTTGTGACTGTTTCTTTAGTAGAAAGCAGCTCCCACAAACAAAAGTGTACAATGAGGTTGGATTAACAAGAACACTGTTGTTTTTTTAATGGTGTGAACAGCTTACAAAATTCCATTGAACAGGGGTGATGGCAGAAATCTGCAGAGATGGATATCCTCAAATCTGAAGCTGAATCTATCTGCATACCTAGATAACACTAGAGGTAGGTGAAGTTTGAACCAACCATTTAAAGAAGATTTGCTACTTTGTACTATGCTACTTCATCACTATGGCTCAAGCTGCAGCTGTAACGTTTAGTTCACTTGGTAAAGCTCTGCATTCTCCCTAATAGTCATGTGCTGCTTGAATGGATGCCAAGGGCAAAGGGCATGGGGATGTGTCTGCTCTGACCCCAGCTCACACCCTGACTCCATTCACCACCCAGCATGGAGAGTGTGAGAAAAAGGGGGAGGACGGAGAGGAGAGACAAAGTGAAAGAGAGAGAGGCTGCTTTTGTGACTGGAGAGACAACAGTCTTTGTCCCACAGCATCATGGGGGTACAAGGGCCACCAATGTCAAGCAAACAAAGACCAGAGGCACCTCTACGCCTGACACACACACACTCATGGACTTCCTTCTGGGCTAGACACAGGAACAAGAAGGAGATAGTGCGGAGGCTGTCTGCACTGGGAGAGTATGGGGGGGGGGGATAATCTATAAACAAACAATGCAACTGTGTGCATGTGTGCCATTACACGCTTGCATGCGTGCATCCACACAGACAAGCACAATGGAAGTACACTGACTGTGGTTGGTACCATTACAGTAAACACAGATGGCAGGAGGGGCAAATAGATAGCTCTTTAATTGAACACATCTACATGGCAGTGTTGACTGTCTGTGTGTCAGGGAGAGAGAGGCAAAACTGTGATCACTGCCATTCAGACAGCACTATAGCATGGAAGAGGGAGTTTAGCCAAAAGCACACAGTTATTTTGAGTATTGTTAAATTAGAAAGGAACATAATTAAAGTAGGGCAAATACACATAGTTACCTCTATGCACACAAAGAATTATAGTCACCACAAGTACAAGTACACAAGTAACAGCGCGCTCATAATCCAGAGCTTTGGAGCATCATACAGTCGCGCCTTCAGATACACCTTGTACCAATTAACTAATTAATGACATCACCAGCCTGAGCAAACAGCTGAAGGCTCTGAACCGAGGCACCCCCCCCCCCCCATCCCCTCCACTGTGACTCAAATGAAAATACAGGTCTAGTTCTGCTCGAAAATGCAGAGCCCAGGCCAAGTTCGTCTCTTTAAAAATTGAGAAAGATTGCGACCGAAAGCAAATGCGAAGGGGCTCCTCTGAATGTAGCCCTGCCATCTCAAGCATGAAATAAATCTCATCATATCAGTGGAGCATCAGCCGGTGAGTAGCCGACCTCTAAACTGACACACACACACACAAAAAAAAGCTTAATAACTTCTGATGCTCTCTCACAGTCCCATTCTTATCAGCGTGCAATCACATAAAATAAAATACAGATTTGATAATAAGAAGTATCCTATCTGCTAAAGGCTAATACAGTTAGATTTTAGTTGGCAGGAGTTTCTTACCCATGTCTGGAAGGATGCGTTCAGGACTTGTTGGCTACACTGCTGCCTACACTGCAGCTGGTCCGCTGATGATATGCGCAACTTGTCTTCGGCCCCCGTATATCAATCTCAACTCGCTTTCTGTTCCTACAACAATGGACAGACCCGCCGATGACTGCAAGTGCAATCTTAAAGGAACAATGTTGCTTTTCAATGAACTTCAAGGCGGAGAATAATGAGGAGTTCAAGGTTCTTGCGCTTGTAGAAATTTACTTAGTTCATTGTTGACGCATATTTGCATTTAGAGAGCAACTTGCAACTTCTTATGCAAATACAGAAGAGGGAAAGTTAAATTTTTGCCCCATGGAAAAATATAACTTTTCCTCTGTGAGTAGTTGGTCATTCAAACCCTAAGGTTTTCAATCCCTGGTTCGCCGAGGCCTTTTGTTTTGTTATTTTCAGCCTGAAAAATATAACCAAGTGAAGAGCAGCTCACGTATCATGCAGAGTGGGATTGATCTCATGTCTGTATGTCTAAGAACAGCGAAGGTGATTTGTCTGAGATTAAAACGCCATCAATATTAGCCTGTGGACAGTCAGGTGATGCTCTCCAGATTTAGGAAATTGTCAGATACTATCTGTTTGACTGCAGTCGCTGAGATATGGTACTGAACAGAAAAGATCTGACATCACAGCTGGCGAAACAGATATGTCCTTTATCGTTTATCTCTTAAATGGGCCTATTGAGTCCTGGAATGTTCCTTTTTAAAAGCAAGCTTCAAGTGGCATTCACAGACCATGAATATGTGGAAAGCTCAACTTTTGATAAATTTAGATGGTCTTCATAGCTTCTTTGATTAAAAAAGATCTGGTATGTCAATTAGCCTGGATTGTTATGTCATTTGTGATCATAAAATCCCTGATGTGTATTAGAAACCATCCACTGGGTATTTGGGTCGGTGCCAGCTGGTCTCCTTGTCCATGTCAGCTCATGCAAACTCTTAACCCCCTATCAAATGTTGAGCTTGGGAAAAAAATGAATTTGATTGAAATAAAATGTGCTGTGAGTGCAGCAGAGCAGCATGCAGCATGGAAACATCACTGATATCAGAGGCCACCTGACTGTGGCGGAGCGAGAGACTGTCCTCTGATTCATCTCCACCCTCTGGCAAAATACCAGGAATAAAGAGCCAGATTTGGCTTCATCTTTGTCCAGTAGATGGCAGGCTTTCTCCTGCCACAGCGTTTGCACAGCAGCAGGCACATCAACACTTTTATCCCATAATACTACAATTTTTAGAGAAACATCAGCTTTGTCTGGAACTGTCTCTAAACATGACGCTGTGAAAACCACAGTTTGCCAACCGGGTCAGAAATGTCTCCATTGAAAAACTCCGATAGGCCTATTCTTTAATATTAATTTGTACATGATGTAATCTAATGGAGCCTGTAATTCCTTATGTAAAGATGCTGTTTAATTTGTAATTTTGTTAAGGGGCTCTTTATTTCCTCTCAGTTAATGTAGTTAGTCTCAAAGTACAATCCTATTAGATTATTTATTTTTCAGCTGCGAGCTCACAAATCCTCAGAGAGACACCACTCATGTTATACAAGCCTTGTTCTCCACTAACCAGATTGTTGTACATAGTGTTTTACAAGCTCTGACTCTTGGCTTTCCTTCTATCCTCTAACAAAGGTGTATCTTAAAAAGATCACTGAATAGCGTATGATACTGTAAAGATTAAAAAAAAAAAAAAATGTTTTCTAAAACAATTACCCTGCCCTGTTTGTAATTGTGTGTTCACAGATTTGTGAGCATATTTTTCCCTGACTCACTCGTACTTAATGCATCACTTAACCTGGTTTGATATCTCAATTGTTCCCGAGCCTACAAATGTATCAGTAACACATGAGAGCAAATGCCTTTTGTAAAGATTTCTTTGAACGCAGTATGATTTCACTCCAAACATCTGTCATCAAAACAACAACGCTGTTGGGTTACTGGGTGCAGTACAGTCGGTTTCCTGCCTTTTGGTTGTCATCCAGCGCTGTGGGTGAGAAGCGGTGCTATCGGGTAACAGGTGTGAGGCGGTGACTTGAGATGTGCCCTCCCTCTGCCACCTCTCACCTGTCCACAGTCGCTCCCCGCCTCCTGTGGTTGTCTCAGAGCTGAATTTTCTTCTTGAGAGACTTTCATCACCTCCCCACTGGAGGAACATTAAACCCTTTTGTGTGTCTAAATACTTTAGACTCCCCATCACTCAGAGTTAGAAATTTGAGAAAGGCCCAATCAACTTAGCAGACCATTACTTCAGTCTTCTTCTGGCTTCAGTGGTCATAATCCCTAAAGATAATGACTGTAATACTGGTATTTAAGCAATGCCTTGCTGTGATAGGCTCTATCTTAGGGTGGGTAATACTGAAGGCATCATGCAATTATGGTGTTCAAAATTTTTCTACAGAAAGTATGTGGAACAAGTCTCCTCTGGAAACTTCAAACACTTTACTTATCAGATCACCTTTTATTTGCCTTTCCGGTAGCTTACAGGGATCTTTATCAGAAAATGGATCGACTTTATTCCCACAGAATTTAGCATTTTTGCTGTTGACAGATGTTTGAACACACTGTGTATCAGAATAATTCAACAAATTTGATAATTAAAATGCAAGAAGCCTTTGACAAATATTCCGAATACATTTATTTCACAGGCTGAATTTATCCTTGACAGTGTGTGAGCGAGGATTATGCACATTGCTTGTTTTATTCTGTTAGTCATCACAGTAATATTTGTCTTTGTGCCTGAATGGAATCTTATTCTCTTCAATGGGCCCCCTCTTGTTCTGTCTTAGACGACTTCTTCTCCTCTGCTTCAGGTATAAAATGACTGTCACCACGAACAAACATGTGGATGCCAGCATTAAACCCAGGCCTGCTAACAAGGTCAGTTGAGCAGCTTTTGGACTCTCTAGCTCGCAAATGGGGGCCCTTGAGGGAGTTTGAACCAAGTCAGGTGTTCCTGCCCAGGTGGGTGGTCTGTCCAAGTGGCAGGGCTCCATACTGTCATTGACCAACAGATTAATCCAGACAGTGCTATAAAATGGAATTGGTTTCCCCCCATCTCTGACCACAATGAACAGGTGATGCATTCCCAGGTCCTTCTTTAGAAGTTGCTGGGCTAAGGTGATGTTCCCTGACCTTGAGTCCACCTGGAAGGGGCTGCTGTTTTGCACTGGCTCTGGCGCCACAACGCTGTATGTAATCTCTGAATTCAGCCCTGAGTCCTCATCGATGGCATAGATCTTTGTCACCATGGTTCCTGCCATTGCAGAAGGAGAGACAGTCAGGCATGAGGAGTTGCTGCTTGGAAGGATCACTTTTGGCTGGTTGTCATTGATGTCCTCCACAAAGATAGTTACCCTGGCACTGGATGTCAAAGTGAGCAGGTGCCCATGATCGCTGGCCAGCAGGTACAGTTCATAGCGGTCCTCTGTCTCGCGGTCCAAGCTGGTGGTGGTGTGAAGTGTCCCCTGGGTGTTATCCACAACAAATGGTCCACTGCTGTTTACAACATGCAACTCTGTGTTCCCATTCTCCCCTTCATCTGGGTCTGTCACCCCGACCCTCCCCACCTGGGCGAACGGTGGTACATTCTCAGGGATGAAAAAGATGAAGTGAGGAGTTAGAAAAACGGGTGCATTGTCATTCTGGTCCAGAACACGAACGGTTACCGTGGTCACGGACTCCAAGGGAGGAGAGCCGCTATCTCGTGCAAACACAGTGAGTTTGTGTACCCCCTGCTGTTCCCTATCCAGAGTGGCTGACACACACAGTTGACCTGTCACTGGGTCAATGTTAAAGATGGTAGATGTGTGATTGTCCAGCTTGTAGGTCACCCTACCGTTGTGCCCGCTGTCTGCATCTGAAGCTGAGACCTGCAACAGTGGCATTCCTGGCTCATTGTTTTCCTCAACCTCCAGCTGGTACTGAGACTGGAGGAAATGTGGAGCATTATCATTGACATCTGCCACCAATACCCTGATCACATGCTTAGAAGGAATGATCACAGACGCCTCACCTGATCTCCTATGCACTACCACAGAAATATGATGTTCCCTTTTCATCTCATAGTCTAGGGGCTTTGATGTGGAAAGTAGATATTTGCCATTCTGTGGGCTCAAAGTGAAAGGCACTTCGCCCTCAATGGCAAGAGATGAGCCTTTAATGTTGCTGTCACCCTCAAGCTCCAAGACAGCTAAAACAGTGGGGGGTTGGTTCTCTGGTAACACCATAGTCTGGTTTTGATGCTCCGCTATGAACCCGATCTTGATCGTCAGGTCTTGGTTCACCATGGGGATCACAGATACGGTTACCTGAGTGTCTGCTGGGGGGCAGTGATGACCACTCGCTAACACTTTCAACACCAGCTCCTCCGAGTTGTCACTATGGAGGTCCTGCGTTAGTCTGATGTACCCAGTGAGGCTGTCGAGACTAAAGAGCTTCTTGGCCCGCTCAGAGACTTTGGGACTGAGGGAATAAACGATGGCAGCGTTCGGGCCTGAATCTGGGTCTGTGGCTCTGACCTGAGCAACCAACATGTTCTTTGGGGAGTCTCCGGGGATGGTGACACTGCGTGGGCTGTCAGAGCTAAAGCTTGGACAGTTGTCATTAACATCTGTCACTGTGACTATTAAAGTTGCTGTAGCACTTAAAGGATCTGCGCCGCAGTCGGTGGCCACCAGCGCCATCCGATACTGGTCCTGAGTCTCCCTATCCAGGGCTGTTTGCACAACCAGCATGATGAAAGGCCCGTCTGCTTCAACTTTTAAACTGAAAACTCCATCAGAATCTTCTAGGTGGTACAGCAGCTCTCCATTAAGGCCGGCATCCCTGTCCTGAGCCTGGTCATCCAACAAGTAACTGGTGCCTACAGTCACGTCCTCAGACACCCTCAGGTGTATTTCACTGTTTTCAAAATGAGGTGCATTGTCATTGATGTCCTCTATGATCACAGGAAACTGTATAAGGTCTCCCGAGGGCCTCACGATGGCATTGTGTATAATAATGCATTCCTCAGCTTTTGTCTCCTCGGGGCAGAGGGCCTCACGATCCATCTTTTGCTCAGTGGTGTAGAAATTCCCTGTGTTTGTATCCATCCACAGGTACTCCTGGGTCAGCAGCTGGTACGGAGGTGGAAAGTGTCTACTAAGTGACCCGGCCAGAGTACCAGGCTCCTGTTCCTCTGGGACAGAAAACCAGACGGACCCACATATGATCTGCCTAAGATGGACCAAAAGCAGCAGATTCTGACAGAGAAACAAACAAGCAGAAGTGTTTTTTTTTCATATATATATATATATATATATATAAAGGCAACAGTATTTTTCATGTTTTGGTGATGATTTTGCAGCCCTATTATTGCCCTTCACTCTGACAGAGTAGTTTTTCCAGGTGGTTTAAACTTCATGCCTCAGTGAGCTCTTTTCAAAGCAGGCAACTGTACAATGAAGGTAATGTGATGCCCCTCACTTATCTCCAACCAATTACACTCACATACAAATAAAACACACACAAAAAAAATCAAAAAGTAAATATCAAAGCATTTACTTGGTGTTACAAATACATTCCATTTGCATATATTTCTACAGTTTAACAAATATTTCATACTGTCATATATTTGATGATTATACACATCTTTTTAATTTTTAAAGGGTTGTGACTTGGCACCATTGTTCATAAAGCCCAACAGCTGACATTAGGTATATTTATATTTTTTTTTAAATTGCACAGTAAAGAATAACATTCCAGTTATACCTTTTCACTCAATCAGAAACACAGAGACCATAATCCAGTATCAGAGTGGATAGTTCTTGCTTTTGACTCACTGACCTGCAATAGTCCAGCCCAGTTCATATTATCAGGAGTCCCATGGCCCATCGCCCTGACACATGTTACCCTAGTTCCCCGGCAGCAAGTGAACGCTGAGGACAGAGGGAGCAACCTAAACCTGCACAGCTGAAAGCATGATTCATTACATGCCCCTCCCACAACACTTACCTTGTGTGTCAGACTGACAAGTCACAGGAACAACAGGTTTACTTGCATGAGCTGAACAAATGTTTTTGGAACAACTCACACATTGCTGAAGAATAAAAAAGGAAGCCTGAGGATTATATATGTCTTGCCTCTAAACTATACAGGACAGGATTAATGTGCTAATACCTGATGTGTTTACACACCTATTTTTATTGACACACCTGCCGCCTGTTTTATTCTGCTCTGTCCTGTTTATAACCCTAGAGATCAAGTTAATATAATTAACTTCAATGAGAGTGTTAACAATGTTAAAGGGTTCTTGGGGGATGTAAACTGGTAGTTTCTTCATTAGGTAAACTTCATTGGGGAAGTCAATTTTAGAGGTATATTTCAGAGGTAAATATTCTAGCCCACTCTTTACAGAACTTCATTTCATGCTTCTTTACTTTTTGCTTAAGTCAAAGTTTGAACTAAGAAGCTTTACTTGTAATGGAGTATTTTAAACTGTCTAAGTTTTACTTGACTACCACTACCACTGCTAAACCAAGGCTACTTGACTGAAAATTGCATGATATAGCCCAAAGACATGCACATCTGCTTTTGGGAGAAGGAATCACACTTGGGGGACCTCTATCGACAGAGTAAAGTACTGCACCAACTACAGCAGAATTATAGGCTCCTCTTTAAAGCTTTAGTTCTTTAACATTTGGAGAAGGAGCTTTTTTTTTTTTTTTTGATTCAAGTAGGCTACGTTCATTTCCTGACAACTATACAGCCAGGGGCTTGGGTATAAATTGATCCAATCAAAAATGTAACTAAATAAAAATATCCAAAAAGACTGCATTAATTGTAAGATGATACAAAGTATTTACGTGAATTGATCGTCAGAGTTTTAATTCTTCAATAAAGCTTATAGTCTTTGAGGTCCTTTTTATAAAACCCCTTTGTTGCCAACTGTTTGTGCCAAAAACATGATAAATCTATAATGAATACTAAACGGGGAAAATCAACTTTTAAAGTCTACACAAGTTTTTTTTTTTTTTTTTTTTTTAAATTTGAAGACATGGAACAAAAATGTAAGCCTCAACCGGAGTTGCATAACGGCTTATTACTGTCTGTCATTTGCGTCTGGGTTTCCTTTCAACTTTCCGCCCACTTTTTCCACTTAGAGCAAACCTCTGAGGTTTTCTCTTGCTCCGTGAGCTGATTGGCTGCTGCGATCCGCTAGTTGAGCGGGTCTGGAGGACTTTTATAATAAAACTACAGTGCTGTCTGTCAGCTTTAAACCGCTCCGAACCCTGACACGCAGCACAGGCTTGCCGGCGTTTTACTCCTCTGTTCCAGCATGTCTTCACACATTACCACAGGTGAGTGCTACGGCGGCTTGAACCATTAGTTTTAAATGATGATACCACTGATGATGATGATTATAGGCCTATAAGAAACAACTACCACCAGTATAATGCTTCCCAGAGAGGCTGTGACATATATTTCACTCTTTTTAAAATTTCACACTCGCTTAATCCTTGTTAATATATCTCATGGAGTTGTTGCCAATTAAAGCCACAGTGAGCGAGTGAGCAGGTTTCAAGCCTGCTATACTTTATTTATACACGTTTCTACCTCCATGTTCTCCTATTTGTTGGTATATTTAGAGCACATGTTTGTATTTTCTATACAACCCCCCCCCCCACACACACACATTTTTTTATTTTTATTTCTGTCATATCTTGAATGATGTATTCTGTGATAACTTACCAAACACTGAAGTTTTTGAATATATGAATACATATATCCTTTCTGTATCCTACTACATTTTGCTAAAGCCTCCCCTGAGCCTATTTCTCAGGAGACTGTTAAAGTTCACCTTAGCCTATTGAAATGACTGTGATATAACTGTGGGTAAACTGAGGTCTGTTGATCCTATACTGCATGTTATTTTATAGTTGTGCATTTATTCAAGGAATGGCCAAAAGTGTGGTTTAATTGTAGCCCAGAGCACAACATTTAGATTTAAACTGTAATATTTTTGCATCATAGTTTGCAGACCAGTTGTTTTATATGCCTCATGGGCTGTTAAATTTATTTTCACACATCAAGTTATCTGACACAGCCCACTGACATAAACTTTAAGAGTAGGCTTTTTCTTCTAGCTTTTATTTAATTTCATTTTTACCCCCACAATATTTGTAATAAGTATATTTCTCTTACAGGAAAATGTCCTAGATGATTGACAAATGATTGTTTTATTTCAAACATATTTTAAATCCCCTGAACTTAACCAGGGCTTTTAAAGATGATTTGACCTTGATGTATAAATATATATATTTTTCATTTGTATCACAGAGTAATTTACTGCCTGTCAATTCTCAATTGTGCTTTCTGAAATAACCTTAGATGATCTGACCATTTTCTCTCAGTGAAGTAATGTGATTTCTTTCCAACTGCTGTCACATTTTCCGCAGACTTGGAACAAGAACTGGGCGAGTTGCTTCAGGAGTTCCAGGATGTGGTGGAGGAGCTGAAGGCCCCTCTGCAAAGCAAACCACACGCTTACCAGCGAGTCCTGCAGGAAGCCAAAAGTCGCACGGGGCTTGGGGACGACAGCGGAGTGGAGGACTCTGATTACAGTGAGTAACAGACGAACATGGACACTGTGATTAAGATAATGTTTTTTTAAAAAAAAAAGCATAGGGAAGGAAAGACTGCATCATTTATTGAGTGAGGTTGTATGAAGGCCCCATGGGTGGCAGTGGAGCCCCTTTATCAGCCCAAACAACTGCCGCTTGACACTTTTAATTTGCATGAAACTAGCGGTCACATCCCTGTACACTTCTATTAAAGTGGATGTTTTGCTCATGACAATAGCTCTGTACTGGAATGAACTGCAATTATGGATAACCCATCTTTTGTAATTGTCTTTTTTTTTTTTCCTTTATTTGTTGTTGCCGCTGTTGTGCGTTTGTTGACGGTTAGGAGATAAAAGAAGAAAGTGTATTTCTCTACTCCCATGTGTCGTCATTATTGAAAGTATTTTGGCCCCCTAATGTTTCAACAGGCAAGCTGCTTTCAAAAGCTGACACATGGGAGCCGCTAACAGCGAACAGGCGTTTACCTTCACTTTACTGCACGTTATTATCATTATGTGCAAGTCCTGCATTGTATTACAATTACTGTCATTGTTGTTGTTCATCATTTGCATGGGCTGGCCTTAGTGCTTGTCTTCTGTTTATTATCTCCACTCCCCCCCCCCCCCCCCCCCCCCCCCTCAGGCAGCGAAGCTTCTTTGGGAAACAGTTTGAACACCAGCGAGGAGGAGCTTCACACAGCAGGAATAACGCTGGCACCGAAAGGTACTAGAGGCTTCCATCACCCTATCTCTATCCAAGATAGCCCTCGTTCTTACAGTGATCACTATCACTTTTGCTCTGATCACTATCACAGCCACACAAAAACTCTACATTAGGCCCAGAGCTCTTTTGTTTTTACACAACAAAGCGCCTGCCGCTGTGACTGTCACGTCTCAGCCCCCCTCTTTTCCACGTCTCCTGCAGAGGTTGTTTGTGCTGTTATGTGGTGGTGAGAGGGGTTCAGGTGTGTAGGTGTGTGTGTGTGTGTGTGTGTGTGTGTGTGTATGTAAATGAATGGGAGCTACAGTATGTTGTTGCATACCGATGCACTGACTACTCTTAAATCTCAATGGATGGAAACAATAAGTTGACCAGGTGCCATTCACTCTGTGTTTATCCAGAGTACCTTACATATGTACAACAGAGATCCTGGTGGGATCCATCAAACTGTCAAAGGTTTTATAGCTTTATCTCCATTTGTAGAAAAGAAGCGGAAAATGTTTTCGCCAGTCCAAAAGCAGCTCGGTTCATATGTAATTCTGGGACTTAGATTAGTTTTCAGCTCTTGGTCCAAAGGAAATACCACTGAACTGAGCTGCATTTCTCCACAAAAATGTTCCATTGCTGTTTTTTTTCCTATAGTTTCTCAAATTCCACTTCTTTCTGTCCTCTCTCTGCAGCCAAGCTGGGAGACACAAGGGAACTTGAGAGTTTTATTGACATGTTGGACCGGGAACTTGCTGGTGTGTATTTAAGGGAATTACACCCACTATCAGTCAATCTTTTCTTTATTCCTTTTGTACTTAAGCTGACAAGCCAGCCGGCTGCAGTGTGTCATGGTGGCAGAGATGCTGACGGAGTGCATGTTTTGTTGCACATTGAAAAACAATGTGCATACTAGTAGCCGCCTTGTTTCTACCCTGTACTAACCCCCACCCCCCTCCCGTTTATCTCTGAGCACCTCTTGTGTGTAAATGCCATGTCTGGGGACTCAGGTGGACTATCTACTCGCCCTTTAGTGATAATAGCATACTTGACTACATAAGCATTATGATCCTGCTATCAGCTCTAAAGCAGTGGTGTTTCAGAGGCCCGTGAACACCTATGTGTCCCTGCACACACACACAAACCAGAACCAAGAACAAAACATGCATTCTGTGCTATCTGTGGTCTCAGCACAGAGAGAATTAATGTTATAAATTAATTGTAACTGCCTCTGTATCTTTACAAAGCTTACTTATTAGTCTGTGCATGTTTGTGTGAGTGTTAATATGCCAGTGTGCTTTTTCTCTTATTCTGCCTGCCTGAGCTTTTGTAGTTTTCTCTCTCCCTCTCTTGCAGAGATGTGAACAGTGAGAGATAGCGAGCCACGAAGAGGGGATGGGGGGGGGGCAGAAACAGGCCGGGGGCGACATGGCTGGCTACTGCCGAGCAGACAGGCAGATCTACACCAGAGCAGATCTGAGGAAGTAAATGCTCCCCTGGCTGCTCCAGGGGAAAAGGTTACCATCAGAAATTAAAAGGGCACTCCATTCCAAAATGCAAGAACACCCTCAGACCCCTGGCAACGATGGGCTCAGCCAGCAAGATGACGTCCCTGCAGCATCAGATCCAAGATGTGTAACATATTCTCGAAACTAGACAAAGCTTCCATCTGTCCGGGCATATGAAAAAACGCCGCCTAGAGTACAGAAAGCATGTTTATGCCACGTTTGAAATTCCCATAAGTACTATGCTAGTAAACGGCCCTAAATCTTCAGTGCCATATTTTTTTATTTTTTTTTATAGGAGGCTGATCTTTGTCTTGTTCACAATTACAGTTGGCACTTTAGGTTTTAACTAATTTCAAGTCCAAGGGGTTCAGATCTGCTGTGTAATATCAAATACCATTTTTTTTTTATGCTGATGTTTCCAGTGTACAGTTCTTGTGAATATTCATTTTTTTAATATAAATTGTTGTACAGATCAATGCACATATAAATAAAGCAAAAATTTGATTTTATTTTGTACTACAATTCATTTTTTGTTTAATAGATTTAATCTGGTTCCAGATTCATCCGACTTTGAATTTGAATTTGGAAGAAAATACCAGAACCAGAAACACAGTCTTTGTGTGTAGGATCTATGTTGAAAGTTTGTCACTTTTCTTGAAAAAAAAAAAATACTCCTAACAGTAGTGACAACAAAATATATTCAGTGTTCCTGCACCTTCACTATCCCCTAAACTGGCTGTTGCTAGTGTCACAGCACATGTCTCGGGAGCCCTTCATCCATTCTTCTTTGTTTGTTCCTGTGCTTCCTGTATGTCCGTTCTGGTTTTGCTTTGAGTTTCACTTCTACTAAAATCAGGAAACACACATTTAGCCTAGACACCATGTGAAGTCGGCTTAAAAGGGAAATGCGTCAGTTGTGCTGTGAGAAACAATGCTCATTTAGACTTTGTGCTGTAATTCTTTTGTGGGGGCTGTGAATCCACTGTAACTTATTACCACAAATCCAAGCTTTGAACTGGATGAAGGAAATTGTTCTGCTTTGTTTGTGTTTCTGTAAAAGAACATCTTAGCTGTTACCTTGCTGTGACTTTTCCATGTGCTGTCATTTCACAGTAGCACAGGTCTACCATATGTCATCCATTTACAAGTGTTTCCTCCCTGTTGTCAAAGCAACACAGCTTAGAGAAACAGACAAGTGGTTAGGTGAATGTTGTGGTTGTAACATATAATTTCTCACTTGTGACTTGTGGTTTTACAGTGACTGGCATCAGCAGTATAATCCAGTTGAAGTAGGCAAAATTATTTTTACATCTGAAGAATCAGGGACTACAAGCAACAGTGAAATATTTATATGCACTGGTTATTGTAATCAAACATGAGATTCATTTTTTCAGGGTGGTTAAAATCATGGGAAAGTTTAGCCTCCTTGGAAACAGAGAGGTCAAAGATCAGCAGTTTATTGAATTGTTTTTTTTTTTTTTTCTCCTTAAAAATCTCTGGTTGATACAACCCTCCTTCCATACCACTGGCCCCGGTGATATATTATGGATAGACTTTGTGGGTGGACCTGCCTATTGACACCATGTCAGTGGCCAAGGGAAGGAAGGTTGGACATTTAAGATACTGCTCCTCATCTGTTTATGTCTCATTAAAAGACACTTTATTCAGAAAGTTCAGCTGTGTGCTGAACTCCAGAGCCAACTATTTAACCCCGCTGACCGGGACGAGAGCTGGCGCTGGTTTGGGGGGAGAGGGAGAGAAGTCTATAGTGGTGAGAGCAAATGAGCTCAAAATGTGACATTACTGTAAAGCACAGACGGATAATGGGAGCAGGAAGAGACCAAAAGGGAAAATGAGTGTGTTCAAACAATGGGGAAATGCACAGGGGGGGTATAGAGTAACCTGCTCCTCCTGTGTTGTCTGTTCCACTTAGAGAAAAGCGAGGATGACTGATTGAGGCCACAGCTGTTACAGGATAGTAACTAACAAAGTTTTGCTTTGACATGATGGAACTTCCCTCAAATGAAGGGCACATCCTGTTCTCAGAGACTGAAGGTGAGGAACTGCAACAATGCAGGAAACGTGACGGTGTATTGCAGATGAAACCAAAAGGCATTTGATAAGAATTCCCACTTTGTGGTTTTGTAATGGTGTGTTTCAGATCTGTAGCTCTGTATCTGGTCTGGTTATTGACATTGTTGCCACACTTACCTGCTGTAATCCACGCTGTCATTTCATCGTACAAGAAAAGTCAGCAGAAGCTAATTATGCTGTATGATTTTTTATTAGATTGCTCTTCAGTGGGATCTGATGTAATATATCAGTTTGTCTTATGGGAACACCTCCCCATTGTTTATCTGCTAATTACTATGAGGCCGGTGTTTGATTGGCAGCACACTAAAGTAGGAGGCCAATATGTTAGCCAGTCGCTTTGTTTAGATAACTGACAGAGTAAGTGATGAATTAACTGAATTCATTAGCTGATAAATGAAAATGAATTGATGTTATGATGAGACAGTGAATGGTCTTGAGAGATGAAGACATAATAAATATCATGTTGTGCCCCTCATGCCCGTCACCTATAGACTCCGGCACCTTGGTAATAAATGTCACATAGACTTAAAATCTCTGCACACAATCCTGGTTTGTTTTAAGCTAGTTAGCAAGCTAATGAAGATGTAATTGAGTATAGCAGAAAGGAGACACTTGTTATTATCAGACAATGAGTAAATGAAGCAGAGATATGGCCTGTGCAGTGAGGCTATCGTGGCCGAGATGAGTGCAGCATGCAGAGCACGCAGTCTTCTGTCATCTGCCTGATGAGAGACCGGAGCAACGCCTCTCCCCTGAGAGCTCCCCAAATGGTCCAGGCTAACAAAGCTCTCCCAAGGAATTAGCTGGCTCAACCACCCAACACACACACACACACACACACACACACACACACACACACACACACACACACACACACACACACACACACACAGACCCGACCAACTTACCAACCCAAACACACACACACACTGAATTGTCAAGTTCTGACTGGGTCTTACATAACAGGTCAGTCCCTGAGCCCGGATCAAGGACTCAGATCACTGCTTTGTTATTCTTGCAGAACTCACAAAAGGCAGAGCGATGCGCTTGAACCATAAAAGGACTTGTTGGTGTGTTGTGAAATAGTGTCATCTCATATGACACTCTCTTGAAATAGTCAGGTGGGTCACGTAAAACCATTCCTCAGTTATTGTGAAGAAAGAGGACTGTAAACACTGATCTGATATGTAGCGGTGCTAAAGACTGAATACAACAGTCAGCGTGGTTCTAGGAGTGGCAATGTCATTTAAGGGTTAGTCGGACCATTACTTTCATTCAGACTGAAATATCTCAACCATTGCCATGAAATTTGCGACAGGGATTCATGGCTCTCAGAGGATAAATCCTAATGACTTTGACCCCCCTGACCTTTCCTCTTGCGCCACCATGAGGTTGATATGAGTGGTTTTAAGTGAAATGTCTTGAAAACTATTGGATGGATTGCCATGAAATTTGGTACAGACATTCATGTGCCTCTCAGGGTGGACTCTAATGACCCTGGAGATCCCTTTACTTACCTTAGTTACCTGAAAGATCCAATACATCATCAGCCTCACCTGTACTTTGTGTTTCGCACTAATTAACAAATGTTAGCTAAGATGGTATAACGAACATTATACCTGCTAGACATCAGCGTATTAGCAATGTCAAATACTGATGATAGCGTTTAACTCATAGCACCGCTGTGAGAACTGCGAGCATGGCTGTAGATGCTTGGTCTTGTTTTGGCCTTGAGAAATTTTTGTATTTTACTTGTACACTAATTGAAGAGTTTATCTTAATGATTCAAACTCTGCACATTTTAAAATGAACTTATCATATCTGAGCATATTGGCTTGCTTTCCTGCTGTATTTATAAAAAAATTACTGATGTAAACAAAAGTTAAACAGCATCAGAACACATTAATAACTTCAAGTGCTGCTTGGGTTTTAAAAGTGGAATAGTTTCATAATCATGCAATATTTAACTTACTCAGTAGGAAAAAAAATCCCTACTACCTCATTTTGATCTAAGTAGTTCAGTGGAAACATTTTAAAGGCCAATTTGGATTTTTGTGGGTACTGTCACATAAAACCCAAGCCTCCACCTATAGCCATGGTCATTTCCTGTTTTGCTCTCTGACTGCTCAGACGCTGTACAGGGACAGGAAACCAGTGTAATTCCTTTCTGAGGATTTCATTCCCAAGGAATGTGAATCATCCAGTCTTCCCTGGACTTCAAATGAGCCATTACATCACTGCTGACTGGGGATTTCTTGACGCCACTTCACCCTTCCTCTTTCAACTCAGACAGGCAATTTACTTGAATTCATTACTGAAACTCAAGCAAACAACGCAAAACATATCAGAGAACTGAAAAAAATTGTTAGAACCCCATTCCTCATTTATGGAGAGTGTCTGTATTTTAAATATCTTCCAATTCAAGCTCTCGTTATCAATTGAACACTGGTGAGAAAAGGGAGCAAAAACAAGCTGTGAGAAGATGTGGATCTGAGAATGGAAGTGACAGGGAACATAGTTTTAGCAAATGCCATGGGCTACCCAGTGGGCAGAAAAAACTGTGTACCTTATTGTAATGTAGCAAGCTGGTGAGCTGTCACTCACACAAGGAGGTCTCACTGCATCTTTACTGCTGTGAAAATGTCTCCAGTAGCTTCAGCAGAGTGCACAGAAACAAATATGGACAATTTTTAAGATCAAAGAGTAGGCTTTAGAGTTGCCCGTGGTACCCAGAATGCATCGCTGCTGAGTTTTCTATGTATTTTAGTGGTGTGAAACATTTTTTTATGGCTGGGATGAGACTTCTTTCTAACTGATTTGCTGAGATATTCATACCACAACTCATAATATCTGACGGTGAAGCAGAAACTTTAAATCTGTTTAAAGTAGGAGTATGTGGAAAATGTATGTTTGTATTATGCGTAAACACTAGAGGCAAATGGACCCGCATTTTGAGATATGGTGGAATTCAGATTAGATTCCCATCAGCAAAACTCTTGCATCTTTTAAAAAGAGTTTTGTGAATGCATCATAAGGTCAGATGTTTATTAAATTTTATGATTAAGTGTTAACAATATCTGGTTAAAAATACCAATCAAAAATCTTTTCAATTTGTTAGAAAAATAGGGGAAATCACTGTGCAGCACTAACATTTAGGCATCACTGACAAATGAATGCCTCTGCCTCTCGGGGCTAAAATAGGCTTAACTTCAAAGGATGTTTCCAGTATTTCACAGAAAAAAAAATGATGCAGATATTTTTTTTTTTTTTTTTTTAGAGTAAGCTCAGATATTGAAATCAAACTCACAGTGTATTTGATCTGAAAGATCTGTGAAAAGCCTGGTAGTCTGGATTAGCACCACAGATCAAATTGGCGCCACTGAAAGTCATTTTAATGTGATCTAAGTGATAAGAT